AGGACATAAATCAACAGGAGTTAAATGCAGTCCTCTTTCCCAACACACAAGACTCTCTACCTCTGGAGGTTGTGGGCTCAGGATAGGATCTCTCCTTTGATCGGCCTCTGGCTCTGCTTCAACCTCTCTCTCTTGCCCAAGAGAGCAGGAAAACTTCCATTCATTCCCCAGTCCAGCCGACTGTGGAGTGGCTGAATTTCTGCTGCCTCCCAGGGTTCCCCCACGTCTCTGGCTTGTGGCCTGGTCAGCACAGGCAGCAGGACCCTTTCCTCACCTGCTGTAGGACGAAGACTGCCTCCTCCCTGGATGGGCTGGAGTCTATATTGATGCTGCCCCACCCCTTTTTGGCCTTGGGGTAGCTGGGAACTGTAGGCCAGCAAATGAGGAAGCCCCATTAGACCCAGTGAGTGATACCCCTGCAGGCCCCTCTCTGGAACTACAGCTCAATTAAACCTTATGGGGGAACATTTTAAACACAACCACAGATGGCAGCCATCTTTCAAACACAGGTAACTGCCATTTCATTACACCTACCAACAGCCACTGAGGAAAAAGTTAGTCCCACACATGAGGCAAGCAGGAGAAGCATCTTCATCAAGAGAGAAAGCTGTTTGCCAGTAATTCTGACAGGGCACAGTGGCTGAAGGGGGAGTGGGTGGGGAAGAGGAGCAAACCCAGCACCCGGCCAATGGCATGCGAGTACTCTTGAGTGGCAGCTGATGGGCCAATGGCTGAGGGAGTGCATTGCACAACTAATGGGAGAGCTGCAAAGTGCCACTCCAAAACACAATTATATATTAAGGAAAGATTGTATGCATGTATGCATAGGATTGTATACAAATATTGGTCCTTTAGCCTACCTGCAGTAGCTGATGAAAATTTGTCATATTCATCCCCTGCTAGTCTGGATGCATCCCAAGTCATCTTGTATGACAAAATACATTTGCCAGTGGTTACATCAATGCCACCGTGCTTTTTTTTAAACAGGTTTGGATGTGTGGAGGCGAAATCGAAATCATCCCATGTTCCAGAGTAGGCCATATCTTCAGGAACGATAACCCCTACTCCTTCCCCAAGGACCGCATTGCCACTGTGGAGCGGAATTTAGCTCGTGTTGCTGAGGTCTGGATGGACGAATACAAAGATCTCTTCTACGGACATGGGTACCACCTCATTCTGAAAAACCTAGATGTTGGAAACTTGACTCAGCAGATAGAACTGAGGAAGCGGCTTCAGTGCAAAAGCTTCAAGTGGTACCTGGAAAACGTCTACCCTGACATAGAGGCACCCCTTGTTAAAGCCAGTGGCCTGGTATGTTCAGGTTTCCAGCTTCAGTATAGTATTCATGTTTGTGCCAATGGGGTTGCCTGGAGATTTGGGAGCAGACCAGGTGGAGGCTGGAGATTGGGGAGGGGAGGGAGCTCAGTAGGACTGGGATGCTGTGGAGTCTGTCTTCTGAAGCTGCCATTTTCTCCAGGGGAACAGATCTAAGCAGTATGGATACCAGTTGTAACTCCAGGAGAACAACAGGGCCCCACCTGGAGGTGGCAACCCTAGTGCCAACCCATCACCATCTATACCTCATTTGTTTTCCTGCCTTGTAGTACATGCCTAGAGTTGGATCTTTGGGGGGAAAGAGAGAAAAGAAAAGCAATTTGCGTTACTTTTTACTATGGGTTTTAGAGGGTCGCCTCCTTTTAATAATCCATCATTAAAGCTCTGTGGTCCAGCATTGGTGATAATGGGCCAGTATGGGAGAGAGCGCAAAAATAGTTCCCAAAGGCTGTTTCCATGTGGGGATTTTTCCCTGCATGGAAAGCACCAAGACCCTGCATTAAAGGGAACATTCACATGCCATCAGCTTCTTTCTTTTTTCTTTTTGGTCTGGCTTAAAGCAGGAACCACGTTGGTGACTGAGAATGGAGCATCTGTCTGGACTCTAGCAACAGGCCAGAGCTGAACTAAGCTCCGCTTTCAAAACGGCTGTCCTATTCCCCCTCACCTTTACCCCTTTAGCTGGGCTTCACTGTAGCATTACAGTTTGGCATGGTAGAGAATGGGAAAGTGAGGGGGAAAGGGGGGTTCTGGATCATGAAGCATCCCAGCGAAGTCACCGTAGTCTCTGCACTTTGGGGGCAGGTGTCATGGAGGGGAGGAAAGGAGTGGGGGACAGGGTAGCAGCAGCAGTGAGTGGTGCAAGAATGGTGGGGGTGGACACCGCTCCTGCCTACTCCCCACAGTGCTGGTTGCTGTTGTGGTGAGGGTGTTTTTGCACTCCTGTCTGGAAACAGGCAGAGTTCACCCTTGCCTTCTCCTGTGGAGGCATGTTGAGGTCCGGAGAGTAACAGGTGCAGAGTGTAGAAACAGTGATGGTGAAGTCAGTTGGCTCTTTGGGATGCTAGATGGTTGTTGATTGGATGACAGCTCTCCTTTATTCCTATTTTTGGCTTCTAGAAGCTGGAGGCAGGGAAAGGGGGGGATAAGTTGGGCAGGAGGCAAAGAAAAACAGATTTTTTTGTGTTTCATTCTCATTGGGGAGCAACGGGAAAAATGTATTTGGGAAGATAATTGATTTGGGTGTGACTGTATGGGGAAGTCATGGGCGGAGTCTATATGGGATTTTAAAAATTATTATTTAGGAAGACTGTGGGGATACAGAAAAGAAAAGGGAGAAGAAGAAAGGGTGATGAGGACAATCATTTAGTACAAAATGTCTAATACAGAAAATACGTCCCCTTACATTCCCTTCATTATTAGGGATTCCAGTCCCCAGGTTCCTGCCTGCCACTGGCCAGCGGGGGAAGCCCTCCCCCTAAGTCCTCCCCCCAGCAGCGGCCACCAATGGCCACCCCTCTCTCTCCCCTCCTGCAAGATTTAAAGAGCCCTCCAGCTGAATGGCGGGAGCACATGACCTGCCGACCAGCTGGAGAGCCCTTTAAATCTTGCAGGAGGGAAGGGAGGGCGTTGCCACTGGCCACATGCCTGAACTCCAAGCGCCAAATTTTCCACTTGGAGTTGAGGCATGTCCCCCCCACACACACACTTCTTGCCAAAAGTATTTAAAGGGACCCTTTAAATGCTTTGTGTGAGAAGCAGGGGAGGGGCACACCTGAACTCCAGCAAATGTGCTGTTTGGAGTACAGGAGCGTGGGGCACCAGTCCCCAATGTGATGATGTCATTTTTGTGTGACATCATTGAGTTGGGGACATCCCTGCCCCCTCCAGAAATGCCCCCCAAAATCCACCACTAGGAACTAGGAAGGATCTGGCAACTCTATTCATTATAATTTTTAAGATAGTATCTATAAAATACAATAGTTCTTACATCTGTTGAGGTATGATTATAGTCAACATTTTAAATTTAAGTTTCAAACTTCATAACTTTCATGTGCATGCACACTTCTTCAGATACATTGAATTGGAACTTGCCAGTCCATATGTATAGGTAGAAGGTGCCACTTGACTCGAATGTTGCTCTGCTGCTTCAGTCCAACACGGCTATTCACCTGAATCTTATCCAAAGCTTAATTTCTTCTTGGAGTTCACACTTCCGACTTGCAACCACTAGAGAGCGCTAGGTATCCATTTTATTTCTTCCTCTAGGAAGAAAATTAGGATTGTTCCTGTCATTTTCCAAAAACCAAACTAACTTCCACAAAAGAGTATCCTAACAAACTTTTAAAATCAACTCTGTAGTTCCAGTAGCTCAGCAGCAGAGTTTCTGCTTGGCATGCAGAAGATCCCAGGCCTAGTCCCCAGCAGTTCCAGTTAAAAGGATCAGGTAATAGGTGATGTGGAAGACTGCAACCCGAGACCCTGGAGAGCCACTGCCAGTCTGAGTAGACAGTCCTGACGTTGATAGACCAATTGTCTGACTCAGTGTAAAGCAGCTTCATGTGTCCAGTGGTAACAATGATGATGGTATCAAAATTCAAAATGGGGCACTTCATCAGGCAAACTAAGAAGTCGCCCCTCCCAGCAGCCCATGACAGACAGATACAAAGCTCAACTTTACAGCCATCTCTGTTTACCAGAAACAGCCCCAGTAAATTGTTGTCCTTATTTTGTCCCTTTTTTATCATATAGGGATGCCTTGCATTTTGAGCAGACATTTTTCATAATTCAGCTCCTCCTTCAAGGCCTCTACAAGCTAAATCACTGTGTGGGGGTGGATTACCTCTAACATACATACATATAAATTATCTCTGTTGGGCAGTGGACTCCAAGATGGGATGCATTTCGAGTCCAGTATCAGGTGCATATAAGGAGCTGCAGTGGCTCAAGTGCTTAAGACTGCAGGCTGTGGAAGGTCAGTAGTTCAGCAGTTCGAGACCCGGGTGCCACATGACGGAGTGAGCTCCTGTCTCTAGTTCCAGCTCCTGCCAACCTAGCAGTTCGAAAGCAAGAAATTGCAAGTAGATAAATAGGTACCACTTCAGTGGGAAGGTAACAGCGTTCCATGCACCTTGGTGTTTAGTCATGCCGGCCACATGACCACGGAAACGTCTTCGGACAGCGCTGGCTCTTCCGTGAAGTCTGTCACCTCTAACATACATATAAATTATCTCTGTTGGGCAGTGGACTCCAAGATGGGGTGCATTTCGAGTCCAGTATCAGGTGCATCACCTGTTAAGTCTAGGCTGGGGACCTGCGATGCTCCACCAGCTAGCGGACCAACGGAATAGTGTCAGATTGGTGTTTTTCTTGCTTTTTATCTTCTTCTTTTTCAGGCAGTGGGAACTTAGAGTTCTATTTCTGTAGTTTTGGAAGGAAGGACTCCAGGATCTCCATGACAGGGTCTTTTGGGACCAGTTGGTCTGGTATCAAGATGCCCTTCAATTTCAGATATGAGTTCAACATTCCCTTCGACACTGATAGGACCTGTTCCAGAGGAGACAGGGTTGTCACCTCCAGGTTGGGAAAATTCCTAGCGATTTGGAGATAGAAACTTGGGAGGGGAGGGAGGGACTTCAGCAGGGTGTAATCCCATAGAGTCCACCCCCTCAAGCAGCCATTTTCTCCAGGGGTAGCCTGGAGATCACTTGTAATTCTGGGAGATATCCAGCCACCACTTGAGGGTTGACAGCCCTAAAATGAAAAGTTGAGGGTGAAGTTGTTTGTTTCTCTGGGATTGTCTGGTGAATTTCAGACCATGCTTGCAGGTTTCAGTATTATGAGTTTCCCCAAAACACAGAAGAGAGTGATGATGGCTGTGAGCAGGGGTCATTTCGTAGAAAAAGAGCTAGGGGAACTCATTAGCATAACTCATTAGCATATGCCACACCCCCTGACATCAGGGGCCCGGCGGTGGACCTGCAAGGCCAGTGGGAGTGCGAGGAAGCCCCACCAAGGGGGATGCTTGGGCCTAAATTGTAGCTCTAGGAATTTATTGAATTCAGTGCTCTGCACAGGCACCGTGGCTCTTCAGATTCCATTAGAGATGTTAGAAACCATGATAACTGAATAGTGGTGATTGGGACACTGCTCCATATATGTGCCAGGGCAGATATATACAGGCATCTGTAAGGTAGATGGATAATGAGGAGTAATGGGAGCTACAGGAATCCCCCCCGAAATGACCTCTGGCTGTGAGTAGAGGGTAATTCTCCACCACACTCAAGGCAAGTTCTTGAATGAGGTGATGTTTGCCATAAGTGGTCAGTGCAGAAAGGCCAAGGAAGCCTCAGAGGGGACTCCCTGGTGGCCAGAAGTCTTCCATATGCAGGACAGATCAAGAAATTTAGTTCTGTAGTTCTGAGATAGACCCTCATGTTGTCACTGCTGAGGTGAACAAAAAGGAACTGAGCATTATGGGCACAATTCCGCCCCTCAAGTATGCATGGTCTAAGTCACTTCCTTCAGGGCAGGGGATGCTTGTGCCTAAATTGTAGCTCTAGGAATTTATTGAATTCAGTGCTCTGCACAGGCACCGTGGCTCTTCAGATTCCACTAGAGATGTTAGAAGCCATGATAACTGAATAGTGGTGATTGGAACACTGCTCCACATATGTGCCAGGCAGATATATACAGGGATCTGTAAGGTAGATGGATAATGAGGAGTGATGGAGCTACAGGAGTATTTAAATGGTACCGTATGCTAAATATGCTGTAGGCACTGGAGTGCCAGCTTTGGAATGGTTCGGGGGTGGGGGGAGTTGTAAACAGCTCTATTGGCCCATATAGAATTCAGGACAACCCCCTCCCACCCAGTCCATGCAGTTCTTTTTATTAGGTATTACATAAAAACATTATATCTGATACAGCACACTGTGTAAGCTTTTGAGCTCACTAGAGCGCCTCATCTGGCTAGA